TTTGAGTGGGACTTGCGCATGAGTGAATAGAATTATCAAAGCATGTTGCTTGGGTAGCATTGAAAATTGGGTTGGGCAAATATTTTGTTAGTGGGATGGTTTGTGAAGGACCTGCCTAGTATTGGCCAACAGGCCTGCTGCAGTGTTCCTGCTTTCTTTTGTTCTTATGTACACCAGCTGAGGAAATTGCTTCAGAGGAGGAAAAAGAGAGAGGGAAGAAGGTGCCTCCTTCAAAGATTATGGACATTTGTGCAAAGTGGAGTGAGGTGCAAACATTTGTGGAGGAACATCATCCTAACCCTCTCCCATCATCCCATCTTCCATACACCAACAAGAGTCTTTAATAAAGGTGTGATATTATTGTTTTATACTCGATTTCTCATTCTTTTCTGTATGTAAATCTATATTTAATCTATAAAAAAATAATTTTTGTTAATATTTTTGAGTGTCTGGAATGGATTAATTGGATTTACATTATTTCTAATGGGGAAAATTAATTCGGAAATCATCAGATTCGAGTTTAGTCACTCTCTCTAGAATGGATTAATTACGAAAACCGGGGATCCGCTGTATCTTCATTGGAGTTTCCTTATTGTCATAGTTTATCTGTTTGTCCAAAATGTTTTCAAATTATTGCATTGTATTGTATATTACTAATGTGTACTGTATATAAGCACATCAAATCAAATCAAATCTATAAAGATTACAATGTGGGGTTTACATATAGGATATTGTGTGGTTTACATGTTGAGGAGTCGACAAAGCACTGGAAAAATACTGTAGTTCAGCGTGGTGGAGTTGCAGATTTTGCTCTGGGTGCACTCGCTGTGCACATGAAATGATCACCTAAAACTAGACCATTATGGCATCAGAGGACATACCCTCAGTTACCTAAAATCTTGTGATGAATGGTTTGAAAAACCGACAAGTTGAAGATTGAGACACTTATGCAGCATATGGGATTCTTTATTCAGGAAACGTTTCGCCACACAGTGGCTTCATCAGTCCAATACAAAGAGGAAGGCGTAAGGAGAGGAGTAGTATGAGGTAATCAGTCCCTCAGCCTGGAGTCGATGTGTTCAGTCCATCAATCTTGTAGAATGTACAGCATAGGGCCGTAGACGTGGCTTATGTACTGTAGTGAGGTGAGGTAAAGCAGGCGGAGTTGGGGTCATAGTGGTACCATCCACTAGTCGAAGTAGGTCTTTGTCCAAAGGTTGAACAAGTGTTGAAGAATTCTTTGTAACAAGATCCCATGATGCTGCAGTGTCTGACAGTTGTGATGAATGGTTTAGTGTACTATACTTCATTCTGCATGCACTCAATATGTGAATGACATTTCAGTGCTGGCTTAGATTGGGACAAAAACTGGACCAAACCAACATTATAACAATGAGATGGGAAGCGTATAAAAGCTATAGGTTGAATTGAGAAATCTAAGAAAGTTTTACCACATATATTTTTCCTTTCTGTTATGTGTAGGCACAGTTTGAATAGATATGAACTGGGTGTTTGCTAATGGATTACTTATCAAAAATGTTTCCTAAAAAAAAAAAATTTGTGGATGTAGATTTTATTAAGTTAAAAATTTAGAATAAATGCAGTATAATAGAAAATGAAGGCTACCTGAAGATTTCTTTCTCAAAGAAAACCAGTTAACAAGTTATGCAAAATCTTTGATAGGTTAGGAAGAATATAAAGGCACAATACCATGACTGGAACAATATGCAGATAATCTGCACATAGACTGAAACTTGTGATGACATTTTGGTCCAGCTTGGACCATTAACTAGTCACGACTAGTTAATGGTCCAAGTTGGACCAAAACGTCGTAGGTTTATCTCCTATGTGCAGGTTATTTATGTTTGGATAGGTTCAGTAAATTAAGCAAATACTGTACTATATATATTTTTAGTAAGGTAAGGTTGCTAGATTAGTTTTGATGCAAAATAATTGGCACAGTAAACTTTTTTTCTTGGTAAATATTCATGTGACTATGTGATTCAAAAATAATACAGGTTGCATATTAAGTGAAAATGTGCTGTACTGATATTCTAAATACATAAATATAACTAAGTGAAATCTCTAACCATCATTAGCCTCTTGAAGGTCATCATGAACTGTAATGAGTTTATTAGTATGAACATAAGTGCTTTGAAGTTAGAGGAATAAGATCAAAGGATCAACACAAAAAAGTACTCTGATTATGAATTCACTTGCCAAATGAAAATATCATTGCTAATTAAAAGATATTTATATATGTTCTTATAAAGGGTAGCAGTGAATATCATTAGCTTGTGAGCTTTATAAAGTTAATTGTAGTATCTTGAATTTTCTGGTACATATCGGCTAAGGCAAATAATCTGTTGCATCCTATTTCTTGCTGTCAGTGAAAAACTTACACCACCGCTACACTAGGAAATTTCAAAGCATTATTTCAGTCATTCAGCAAAACTATACTACCATGCCATACTGTTTCAGACTTTCACTTTCCTTCCATATAAGATAAGATAAGATAAAGTTTATTTCTTTGTAAAGATTACAATGTGTAATTACAATTTTGATTTGCTAAGTACAAAGATAGCCACTATCATGCTGGGGCATTTTGGGCAGACTAATCTTGATACATGTACATAGTAACTAATTAAAACTAGACAAGATAATAAGTACATAGTAACTAGTATACTTAAAACTAGACAAGAAGTAGTGGTTAACTGTTTTACAAACTTATTTAAACTTAATACAAATGTGAGGTAGTTAGGTGGAGTATGGTTCCATAACATAATCTTGAAATTACACACAAAATCTATATTACAAGTAGTAGTTCAGGTGGTAATATTTTATGAATTGGCAGAATTTAAAGCATCACTGTTCTTTATTCTCTCCTGAGTACCACACCTGCCCTTCAATTTTCTTTCTCTTCTACTCTCTAGATTTTATGGTAATACCATGTAAGTGTTTCACATCTTTTAGGGTACAAACATCAACTTCAGTGATGCAGTCCTCTTGTTGTACAGTCAAACCCAGAATTCACATATTTTGTAATCCCAAAATTTTGATTATACATTTTTACTGAAGATGATTTAATGGAGAGCTCTGGTTATTCATATCTTTTCTTGGTGCTTATCATTATTTTGCTTGGTGCAAGACTTTTGAATTGAAAATTTACTGTAGGATTTAATTCTTATGAATGTTAATACAGTGGACCCCCGGTTAACGATATTTTTTCACTCCAGAAGTATGTTCAGGTGCCAGTACTGACCGAATTTGTTCCCATAAGAAATATTGTGAAGTAGATTAGTCCATTTCAGACCCCCAAACATACACGTACAAACGCACTTACATAAATACACTTACATAATTGGTCGCATTCGGAGGTAATCGTTATGCGGGGGTCCACTGTATTAAGAAGATTTGGGCAATATTTAAAGAGAGGGGTAAAAATGTGTAAATAATTTGTGTGTGAATTATGGGGCTTAACTGTATTCCTTGTTGTCTTGGTCTTCCTGGCTAGGGCTTTCATCACACCATCCACCTTTCCCTCTCCCTTAACTTCACATAGTACAGTATACAGATTCCCTTTTTGTTGGTCTCATATCCTAACATTTTTCTATTCATACTAATTTCACTCATAATTTCCTTCTCTTCCTAGTGTTAGTCATTTTTTCTGCTTTTTATTTAAAACTAAAAATAAAATAGGTTTTATATATAGTATATGAAGTTACTTTAGATTAATGAGAAGCTGGAAAAATTACACTAGATAGTTTTTGTAAAGCTAGTTATAGGCAAAGCATTTTGGAACAGTGTGAGGCATCAAAATAGATACAGTTAAAATTAATTGTTCAGTGATAAATATTATACATAGAGAATTACCAAAAACTTATTTTGTAGATCTAAAAGTATATATTATACTATATCAAGTAATGTAGGAATACAAAGCTTCCATTCTCTGTTGTACCTGTGTGATTTCCATATATCAAGTATAATATGTTCATTTATTTTTAACATAGAAAAAGTTCACACCCATCTCTAGTCTTTCTTGGAGCTTCTGTTTCCTATCTGTCTACACATTGAATAACATGGACATGACACATTTCTTCATGCACTTTTCAACTACTCTCTTATGTACTTTTAACATTTTCTTCCTTTTTATAAAGGTCTTTACTGCATTTACAATATTCCTCCTACTTGTTATACACTTGACACCCTCTGTGGTTACCTTCTTTTGTTGCCTTTCTCATGAGCTCCTCCAGACTCAAGACTATATATAGTTGTCTTAATATTGTTATCTAATCCACTAAAATCTCCCCCTTTATTATAACTATCTAGTTTTTCAACTTTTTTTATAGTTCATACTTTGTACTCTGATTCTTCCATTTTGTTCTCCATAGTTCTTACTCTACATTTGTTTTCTTTTTAGTATACAGTGATAGAATGGGACTTTTCCAATCTTCCAGTGACGTACCACTTTCCCAGAAATACTGGCAAAACTTCCACAGCCATTCCATTTTTCTGTCCGTTATATATGCAAAATAATTTTTGTATATTATCATTATTATTATTATTCATGGTCAGGGGACAGGGGAGGAGGTTAAACCTGTAGAAGTCATACCACATACACTCATCCACTCCTCCTTTCCTATACATATTTAACCCTTTGAGGGTCGACAGGCCCTCTCCGAAACTCGTTCTCAGGGTCGGCCAAATTTAAAAAAAAAAAAAAATTATTTTCTCTTATGAAAAAATAGAGAATCTTTTCCCGATCATAACGACACCAAAAGTTTGAAATTTGATAGAAAACTTACGGAATTATGCTCTCGCAAAGTTAGCGGTCTCGGCGATGTTTACGCATCGGCGATTTTGCCCAATTTGTGCCCCATTTTCGGCAAATTTCACTGTACTAGTCGACAAAAAACATGAATATTTCGCTAGAACCTCCGTTTTTTTTTATCGAATGGGTGCAAGAAACCACCCATTTATAAATTCAACTATCCAGTACAGTGGTCAGAATTTAGCAATTTTGCCAATTTCACACAAATTTCAAAAGATGCCAATATCGGAATAGGGTTCAGAATAAACAAGAAAGACATTCCTGGCACTAAAATGACATTTCCTCTAGTCATTAGTCACGTCTCAAGGCCCCTCTTATATTCTTTTGCTTTCCACTTTGAATTTTTATTCTCACAAAAAATATAAGATTTACTGTTATGCAGACTACTGCATTAGTGTAAAAAATGGTATAAATATTATTGGTGCACTTGTGAAAGAATATTAGACTCACCAGTTGACGTGTATTGCACGCTTGGCACGATTTGTTTACTTTTGAAGTTTGGTAAAAATCGAACATTTCTGCTACTTTGAGCTCAATTTCAAGGCACCTTTCATTGTAAAACCAGTCAAAATCATCTCAATTTCAGTAATATGTCTTCCATTCTATAAAATGAGACCAAGAAAACTAGAATACAACAATAAATACCATACGAAAATACACTGCAAAGTCGCTGATTTATTAAAAAAAATGGAAAAAGTTTTTTTTTTCTCATTATGCACTGTGTGCTGCAGGATTTTTTTTAGACTGTGCACACTGACCACATAGACCCATTCTTTCATATGAAGGCCTACCAGCTTTCTCCCTCTAGATTTGAGGCCGCTAGAATTTATGAGTACTAGTACGTCAAAAACCCCTACGCGTAAGACGTACTAGTACGACGAAAACCCTCAAAGGGTTAAATTTCAGCATTGACGGTTTTTAGCTCTTTACTAAATGCATATTCTGTTATTCATATTCAGTTATGTTGTTTCATATTAGCAATGGTAAAATGCTTTTATCAATGCTTAAAATGCTTTTATCAGTTTCATGCGACTCAGAATACCATTTCTATCTCTTCTAATTACTGTTTTGGTAGTTAAAGAAATTCATAATTACCCTTAATATTGCCATTTATTTTTACCACCTTATTTTTACTGCATTTTCCAAAGATCATCCTATATTTAAATTATTATTATTTTTTATACTGTATTAATCTTAAATATACTGTACTATACCTTTTACTTTTATAAATATGCAGTTCACTTTCCCACTTATTTTGTAATCAGGACCTGTTACCAAGTGATCTGTCCATTTCATCTTGCAAAATCTTTCCCTTCTACTCCTTTTTACAATTATTCACTCTCAGGCTTAGAGATCACTACCTATTCTTTTGTGCTTATTGACCAACTCGTTCATTCTTCTCAGTTTTTCAATTCTTACATCTTTGGAAAGGCACCATTGTCCTCTTAGCAGTCTGCCATATTCAGCACTGTAGTAAGAGCAAATAATCCTATTAAATTTCACATGCAGTGTTATATATTTGTACTTAGATATGCTTTGCTTTACATTCTCATAAGCAGTTACTCTTACCTGGTATTCCTTCTTTCACCATGTATATTTATTTGATATATCCTTATGTTTAAAAAATGTATATTTATGATATCTTCTTTTCATTATACACTCTTTGGTTTGAGGTCATTATTATTTGCACATGAGAATTGATCATTCTCATAGCCGAGTCCACTCCTACTATCCAGACTGTTTATCCCAGTCTTACACTAACTGTTTGGTATTATTCAAGTCTCTCACCCTTTCACTACTTTTTCTCCTATCATATTTATCCTATCCTATATCTTATCCTATCATAAAACCTATGGTACTTCACACAGGCACCTTGATTTATGTTATGAGAAGGCCCTTTAATACATCATATTATTCATTAATAAGCTAATTCCTTCTGTACCTCACTTAGTTTCTTACTCTTATTTTTTTAAACTACATACTGTGCCACTTATGTGCCCTGCCTTAAGCTAGCTTTTGTTTCACACAGCTCACTGACATTTAACCTCCCATCTCTGAACACTTGCACCACTTTCGTTCCTCACTTATCCCTCTCACATTCCACACAGCCATACGTGCCTGCCTTTGCTTTCTGGGACCCGGGCAGGCGCGGGCTCCAGATCCGAGGCTGTTTTGGCCTTTAGTGGGGAGAAGATAGAGAAGATGGGTCCCCAGCCCAATCTCCTTCCCTTTTATCACAGGGGATACGGGGCTGTTTGCCCCACTGAGTGGTGGGCGATGGGGTCGCCACATCCCTACGCCCTCGCCACATCCCTACACCAAGGTGAAGACTATATATATTGCTAAAACAATAATTAAAAATAAATCTGCACAGTAATGACATTAAGTTAGCACACGAGTTAGGACAAAAAAAAAGGCATTTACCACTATATCACATTGATACACTACAATTACCTATTTATGAAAATCTGCCTTACTGCCCAGAACCCTATTTGCTATATTACATTAATCTGCATCAGAATTAAAAAAAAAATCCTGTATTACCAACATACCAGATCTCTGTAAACACTCCATGTTCAACACTTTCCCAGTAATTATTAGGTTGGCAAGTGTGGTATCTCTTCTAAGCATCCCTATCCTCACAGTGCTTATACTCTTTAATGCTGATATTTCTTCTTCATCTGTCCCTTGTTCATGTACATTGTTCATCAGTCTGTAATCACCCATTCTGTCTGTCTCTTAAGCCCAGACCATCTAAGTACTCCAACTGATAGTTCATTTATATACTGTCTAAGCATATGGTAAGGGAAATCACAAAACTCAGTTTGAAGTTGTAATATCATGTACTGAATATTTTGAAAATTTTGTATAAAACCAAAAGAAAAAAACTCTTAAACTACGATATTAATGTCTAGTTTTTGTAATGTGTTATATAAGAAGTGGGAGAATAAAATGTTTAATTATGATGATCTAAAATATGACACATCAGAATGATGTGTCATATACTGTGTAACGGAAGGAAGACGATATAAGGTATATTTGCATTGGCTTTTCAAGAACTAAAAAAACCATAAGGGAATTTTTTTTTTAAATTTATTTGGCTACCTATTCAGGATTTTAGGAATTTTGTAATTGGAAAATTTGCTATGATAGATTGACAGATTAATTTTTGCCTATTTATTTTCATATTTGCAGCTGCATAACTTCATCTTGTCAAAATAATTAATGTATGTTTTTGCAGTAGTGACTTGTATGGTACATAAATAGGTATTTGACAGTCATTGTTGTTGAGTAAAAATGATAGTATTTTAGTTGCTTCAGGAAATATCAACATTTGTCAGTATTACATTGGTAGATTACACTCTGCTTGTGTAAATATTGATTTGACTTTATATTTTCAACTAAGAAGTATACATTAATTGATTTGTAATTAAATATTGAAGTGTCTTTGCATGTATTACTTCTGTGTGGTTGATAATACCACAATTTTTCAACAAACTTGTTCAGTAAGTGCTGTTTGAAAGATTCTGAAATTGTACTGATAACATTCAATAATTATAGCACTGTATTATTAATGTATAAAAAATATTTTCTGCGTGTACCTAGACATTATATTAGTATGTTAATACTCAATAATTTTCCATTTCAATATTTCAGGGATACAAGACTGAAGCTGATGGAGCCCCGACCTGCAGCCCACATGGAGCGCCTGGCATCATAACTGTCCTAGCCTAGGAAGCCTCCCTCCTGGTTCCACAGATCAGATTTCCATCATTACAGGGTCAAGATGATAAATTTTACAGGAGGAAAATTTTTTCTGTTGACCAAGTTTAAGCTAAAATCATTAAAGAGCAGAGACTGTTTCTTAATGTTGTACATTCATTCATAGTTAAAATTTCATTAACAGCTGCAGGTGTACTCTTTAAATACAAACCAGACAAATTTAGAAAATTCTTAATTTACAATTGCATATATATATACATATATATATATATCAGTGCAACAATTGCCCCTGTTCTATTATATATGTTGGTATGGAACCTTCAGTGTTGTGGTAATTGGAGATAGAAGCCTATTTATTGGCTGAACTTAGGATTTGCTGCATGCATTGAAAAATTGATGACAGTACCAATTTTTCTCTGCTTCATTTTTAAGTTTTAAGGGGGAAAAGGTTTGCTATGAACCTCTTACTTTTCAAAAACAAAGTTGAAATAAGGTTGAAGATGTTTCCAGTCTCAACTTATCAACAATGCTCTTTCAGAACAAACCCAGTTTAAATAGAAATAGAAGATTTAATAAGCTTATCATGCCACATGCTTGCTGTCACCTTGAAGCAATTTGTATGTATAACAACAGAAGAGGTCCAGGTTTTTGTCTCCACTGAATCCTTGGGCATCAACAGTGTTCCCCTTGATAAGAAGCAATCTCAGGCAAGTCAAGGTGAATTTAGATTATTTATTCATTGTTCCTTGATTGTACCAAAGAATTCTAGTTCATCTAGGAACCCATACCAAAGGTCAGCAGCAGCAGCTCATTTGAAAGGGTAACAGCAAGCATGGGTATGCAGTAGGATAGAAGAAAATATTTTTTGAGTGTATGATATGCCAGATACAAGATGTGCTTCTGTAGTAGGTCCTGGCAAGCATTTGGGAGTGCAGATGATAATGGAGCTTTTCACTTTTTAACATGAAAACAAGGTGCTGATATATATACAGCTGCACCTTGATTTTTTATGTTTACCAGTGTTTGAAATGTATAGTTTTAATTTGCATATCCTAAAAAATCTTTGGTGTGTCAGTTGAAATGAAGCTATGTTTATTGATAGCAATAAACCTTTAATTAATGAAATGACATAAACAAACAGATGTGTGCCACACAAGGATATCCTCCAATATAATTGGTAGGTTGCAACCTTGTTTCTGCACTAGAGCACAGTCTCTTGTTAAGTAAGTGTGGCATACATCCGTCTTGTTCTTTGTAAATATTAACACTATTCTGCTAGTGTTAGAAAATATTGATTGTCCATATTTTTTGCCTCTATTCCGTTCCACTATTTCAGTCTTAGTTGTTGATGTTGACCATAATATGTATGAGGTACATATTAGCCAGTGGAGGCTGACTGTTTGACTAGGACTTGCCCTGCTACTCTCAGGTTACAATTGGTTAAGTATTTTATATTTTAATATTCAAAAATATCTACATGTTCATTATAGATTTTTTTTCCCCACGTGAAACTAGGCAGCCCATAATAATACGCCCAGCATTCAATTAAAGTAAATTTTTCACTGCAGCTTGTGAATATTCTTGCTGGTAAGGTAGGGCAAGTCCATAATATTGTCTCAGTTGCTGAATGTGGTATATAATATACATATCTGTTTTGTCATATTGTAGTATGTATTCATCAGTGTTTGTTAGGAGGCATACACGTTTCTCATTAACTTTATCTTAATTGAGTTTTTGATATCCTGCTATGGGATTTTGAATTTTAAGAATAATTAGGATGAGTGTTAAGCTTTAAGTGATGAACCTGTGTGCCCCTGCATGTAGGCTGGGGAACAGCAAACAAAAAGCTCTTGCTTTTGAATGCCCCTTGTTCCGCCTGCTGAATAAACCCCAGTGGTTATCATCAAGCTTAGTGGGTCATTTTCAAGTCTAGTCTGAGGAGATGCAGAATAGTTGTTGGTATCACCACTGCAGAAACAAGTAGCCTGTCCAGGAGTCTGTCTAAATTGTAATACATTTCTAGATTTGGATGTTGCTGAAGTTAATGGAAAAAATTGCTGTATTGTTGATGGAAAATAATTAAGTAGGGCTTCAAATTTCCTGGGCAGGCACTTCTTTTTGGTAGAAGACAGGAGGTCTCTGCTCAAGATAATGAAAGAAAGACAAGACAAAACAAAATATAATTGAGTAAGGCAGCCCTGACTCTTGTGCTCAGTATCCACTGTGATCTTACAGGTAACTTGATGTCCCTTCTGCTGCCTTGTGAGAAAATGCCCACCTTCTGCACCTATGTATATGATCCTCAGTTTAGACTTGAAACTCTCGGCTTGATACTTCTCCGTCCATTTTGAAAACTGTAGCTGTTACGAGCTCAACAGGTGATGTTCTTTTAGTACATATCAGTAGGCAAGTAGATTTCAGGTGAGAAGGTGTTGCTATGGTGTCTATAGTTGGATGAACCATTCCGTAGTGTTTACAATTAGGACCCTTTGTGCTGTAGTTAATAACCAATAATTGTCTTTTTTTATTCCTTGTTTTTACAAAAAAACACAAAAAACTAAAGTAATAGATTATGGATTCTTCTCATCTGAAACTCTGGCCAGTCGGCTTTTCTAGAGGGCCCTTGTTTACATATTCCATCTAATGGATATGTAAAAAAAAAATAAAAAAAAACACCAAAAAAAACCACATGACAAAACCAGTGGACAACCATTCCTTTCCTAGGTTAAAGTTTTACCTATTCTGTAATTAAGTAAGTGCCCTTTCTAGAATTGTCCAACAATCTATGCCTTACAACAAGATAACGAAGCCATTTTCTAAGAAATATTCTGTTAGTAGTTTCAACAGATTACAGAACAATCCATTGGTTTTTGAAGGTTACTAGCTGTCGTTTCCATGTCATGTTCTGGACAATGTTTGTGTTTCAGTGAAGTTAATACTTATAAAGCATTGATAAAATTAATTTCTATTGCTGTGCTTACATTCCTTTCCCCAGTGAACAAAAGTTATGGGCTTGCTATAGCTTTTTATTTTTTGTAAGATTACATTCTATTTTTATTTTGATATGAAGGTCAGTAGCTTTGCTGCATTATGTAATTTTCCCTATATTATTGCCTACTAAGTGTGTTGTAGAGACAAGTGACCTTTAAATTGAACACTTTGCCAGTACATGTCTACCATCTCAAGAAAGGATACCTAGACTAGGTTGCTGGCACAGCCTTAGCTCGTACTCATGGGCTATAAGGTAATATTTTCTATGGCAATACTGTATAGTAAGCATGTCTTAAATTAAAATAATTTGCATTTTAATTTTGAGATTTATTTTTTCTTTCTAATTCAAGAATTTTATAGTTTTCTTCAATTAGATACCTAGCAATAATATTGGTTAGTTGGTTTGGTAGCCTGCAGCCCAGCCTAGATTGTCCTGTACCCAAACACACCAGTGGGCTTGTGTTGGCAATGTTATTCTAGCAGCAGACTAGGCTGTAGAAAAACCCCCCTGGCAGTGTAAATCAGTCTGTTATTGTTAAGGTTAAAAGTCATATAAAAAAGAATCTCATACAGCAAATCAGATTTAAATTATAGTTTTGAAAAGGAGAATGTTTGATAAAAAACCTGCCCTAGTTTGCTGTCCACGTTACCTCAGTGAGAAAGAACGCTCTATGGAAAGAGACCGGTTGCTAACTGCCCCTTGTATGGTTCTTCAAAGTTGGTATTTAGGTGGTTATCTTTCGTAAGTTATGAGTCTCGGCCTGAATTAATTTTTATTTTCCTATTTATGTACTGTACTTAGAAATAAAATGTCAATTCTGTGATGTTGCAATTAGTCTCTGGCAATCACTCAGATTATCACAAGAATATTGAGTTATTTTTTCCTGAAAAGGCAAGATATTTGTTCACTTCCTGAAGTGCTCCTAAACTGTACGAAAGAAAATTCTCAATGTTTGTCAAGTTACAAGAGGTCGGGCATTTCTCCAGATCTGAGACTATAAAACCAAAGTTAGTGTTTTGTTGGGTAATTGTTTTAAGTTTTACATTAAGTTTTATTTAAATGTAGGATATAAGTCCAGAGATATTATAGAGGAATAATTACTAACCTTTTTTTGTCACTAAGCAGGTAGTTGCAACCAAGTGGAGTACTAGTCAGGTTAACACATTTTGTTGAGTACTGTATGAGGATACCACTATGTGTACGACATTGTCATTATAACTATATCATTTCGTGTATAGGGTCCAAAGGAGGGGAATAAAAACTTATAGTGAAGAAAATGTGTTTTAATTGCCACAGGTTAGAGCAATGTAGGCAGTATGTCAGTGGCATATTATTATATTCGTGGGGAAAGCATTAAATCTGGAGTTGTCATACAGCACCTGGGTAATGGGAGATAATTGGGTTTGAGATATGAGACTGCGAGTTTAATTTGTAGGATCGAAAGCCCCCCCCCCCCCCTTACCAGCATCAAGGAACCTTAGTCATTGGCAGAAAAAAAGTGCTGTACTGCTGTGATAATTTTAAATCTTTACTGTTAAATGTAGTCTTTTTAAAACTTTGTAGGTCAGTTTCACCAAGAATTGCAAAAATCTAAATTGTATTGCAATTTTGAAGCACTAAACTCATTAAGAGCCTAAAATATGCCTATCACTCAAAGTTTATTGAAAAAAAAAAAAAATTAAACTAGAGGTTTTTAAACACTGCTGGAGCACTTTCACAACTAATTTTTTTTAACTGTCACTATTTACTCCCTTAAGGGTATAGTTTCTCACAAATATGATGGATATAAAATTAAGCATAATACAGCATTTCTTAAGGGAAGATTATATAATATAATCAAAAAAGCGCTAGCAAGGACTATACAGCAGCATTTCTTAAAGGAAGGTCACATCACCCTTTGCAATACTTTCTTGAGCATCCTCATTGATGTTATAGTGTAATTTTCTGCCTCCATGAGTTTGAGGGATCCACTGTGAGCAAAAGTATGTACTTCCCACCCCCCTGATCAGATTATTAATATAAAAAAGGAAGTGCTAAGCCACAAGGGCTATACAGCACCCCTGATCAGAGATACCTTGATGCTGTTGAAAGGTGGAAGGAGGGTCTTGATCCAGGAAATAGAACCTATCCTTCCTGCAAACTTGTTTGCTTCCTATTTCCCAGGCACTGTTTGACCCCCTATGGGATTATTACTTTCCCATGAACAATGCACTTACCAACTCTTGCCATATCTTATGCATTTGAGAGCTGGGCCTGTAAGAGTAATTCACATTTGAAATTGTTTACACTTTTGAATTTACAGTACTGTGAAATTTCGATGTGTATTTGCTAAAATTACTTTCTTTATAACTCGTCTGACACAGCAGCACCATGGAATCTCGATACATAGAATATCTTATACTGCTTCAATGCTAAATCTCTGGTCCACCATATGGGCCTGACCTACTTTCACTAGTGAGCACCCACATGTGATGATTTCAGCTGCTGCATCTTTCCATTTCTTTCACTGGCTCCAGTATAAAAGTCTCCGTCCTCATGCCTCTGTATTAGATTGATAAAGCCTGCTGTGCAGGTGAAACCTCTCTCAATAAAGATACCCAGGTGTTGCATGTGTCTCTTATTCATCATGGCAGTATATCTTTAAAAAAGCTTTATGACCCTTGTAGGTTTAGCACTTCCTTTTGATAATAATAATCATCTTTAATTATGATTCTTCATCAAGGTCAAGTACTTTTGCTAAAATTTAGAATTTTTTTAAATAGTCAAAACCTCAGGACTATTTATGGCTCTAAAAAATCTTGTAATTTAAAATCAGTGTTTCTGATTCTGTTGCATGTAGGTGTTACAAGGGAGTGTAAGATTTATACTTCCTCAGATCAATCACCTCCCATTTCCCAGGTGTTGTACCTTTATGGATTGAGCACTTCCCCATGAATATGTAGCAATACCTACAGTAGGAAGATTTAAAAATGAATAAGTATTTGTCTTGCAAACAGTGTATGACAGAATTGTGAATGGTTAGTGACTGAAGAGAGAGCTTAACAAAGAGCAAAGATTTGTTAAGGGGATGTGTGGAGTCGAGTATTAACCCTTTGACTGTCGAAAGGCCCAATCCTGAAGTGTCTCCTGGTGTCGCAAAAAAAAAAAAAAAAAAAAAAATTATGAAATGATAGAGAATCTTTTCCCAGTTGTAATGACACCAAAAAAATGATGGAATTACGCTCTCGCGAGGTTAGCGACCTCGGCGATATTTACGAATCAGCGATTTGGCCCACTTTGAGCCCTATTTTCGGCTAATTCCATTGTTCCAGTCGACCAAACTCATAGCTATTTCTTTAGAACTACATTTTTTCAATCGATTGAGTACAAAAAACTGCCCACTTACCAATTTTAACTACCCAATAACATGGTCAGAAATTTGCAATTTGGCCAATTTCACAAAAATTAAAAAATATGACAATTACAAAATAGGGTCCAGAATGAACAATGCAGACATTCCTGGTGCTAAAATAACATTTTCTTTGTTCATCAGTCATGTCTCCAGGCCCCTCTGATATTACTCTTGCTTTCTATTTTGGATTTTTATTCAAACAAAAAATATAAGATTTACTGTTATGCAGACTAATGCAATATTGTAATTGTATAAATAATGTCAACCCATTCATGACTGCATATTAGAATGGCTACTTGGACATTTATTGGAAAATGACATCATTTGTTTACTTTTGAACATCAGCAAAAATCAAACATTTCCTCTACTTTGAGCTCCATTTCAAGGTTCTTTTCATAGTAAAACCAATCAAAATCACCTCTATTTCTATAATGTTTTCCATTCTATCAAATGAGACCAAGAAAACGAGAATACAACCATAAATACTATATGAAAATAGACCACAAAGTTGGCATTTTAATTAAAAAAAAAAAACGATTGGAGTTTTTTTTTCTCTATGCATTGCGTGCTGCAGGATTTTTTTATATGGTGCACACTGACCACACAGACCCATTCTCTCGCATGTGGGCCTACCAGCGTTCTCCTGCTTGATTTGAAGCCGCTAGAATTTGTGAGTATACATGTATATACGTCAAAAACGGTGGCTCATAAGACGTACATATACGGCCAAAACAGTCAAAGGGTTAACACAACATTTTCATATCTAGACGCCTTATGAATTTCGTCCCATAGCAGCTTATTGCACTCCCTATTAAGGTTTGGGGGCCTATGTATCACACCCAAAATTAATTTTTCATACCCCTCGAGAAACTGTAGCCAAATAGATTGTGTGTCTGATGTTTCTATTCTTATATCATGTCTAACACAACAAGTTAAATTATCTCTGACATACATCGCCACTCCACCACCCTTCCTGTTGACTCTATCAGTGTGGAATAGTATATAACCCTTTATGCTACATTCAGAAGGCATTTCTCTATCCTTCAAGTTGAACCAGGTCTCAGTTATAGCAATATCTATATTACCTGCACTTGCGAGTAATCTTAGTTTATCTATCTTGTCTCTTAGACTCCTACTATTTGTATAGTATACCTTAAGGGAGCTAGTCACTCGTTGCCTTCTACTATCTCTCTTTGTTGATCAGTTGCTTTGTCTTTATTAGGAACTTTATTTTGAATATTGTCTTTTAAACATCTCTGAGGCATCCTGGTAATATCTGCTGTTTCCAACAATAATACTGCAGCCTGATTGTTTCCCACAAACACCCATACCTCTATAATCAGTTTAAAGTCCTAGACAAG